TTGACTGCAGATCAACAGGTCTCCAGTTCAACTCTGGATGCTCCCTGATGTTCTGAAAGACTAAAACTGTTACAATTACCAAAAACCTTTTTGCATTCATTTCCTTATTAAACATTCAAAATTGCCACAAAGTAAATATAAATTAAGGGACTAATAACAACTTTTTTTCAATTATAATAATCTAGAATGACACACGGTGTGTTTCTCAATGTCAGAGCATTAATCTACACATCAGAGCTCTCATTTTCAATTCTGATTGTGGTCTTCAGTTTTCCAAGAGAACAATTGTTGATCATGTTTTGTATCTTCAAGGCTTTCCTCCAGATCTTCTTGAAGTTTGCAAGAAGAATTAAAAAAATGTGGTGAAATAACGGTTCCTAAATTCTGATAATTTTTTTCTCATGTCTTATAAACATATGTAGATTTATTTCTTGTTCACTTTTGCTGCCTTGTTTCTGTATTTTTCTTGCATGCTTTGAATAAATCATAGTTTATGTTAGTTTAGTTTATGCTAGTGTTTGCATTAAGCATTTAAATTATATCCAAACAGAACCTATGAGAATCATGTTGCTGTTGTTCTGTGTATTGTTTTGCACCATTAGTGACTGGCTTATAGCTTCGATCTTTTAATGAACTGTTTAGTGTAAATCTTAGTTTATATCTCAGATCCTTATTTACTGTTTCTTCGTACACTTTATATTTTTGCTGTTGTTGGATGTAACTGGGATCCTGTGTGCACAATTTTGTTGCACTACATGTACCACATGTGATGTGAATGACAAATAAAGAAAATCTGACTCTGACACTGATTTGATGAGTTTTAAAACAACTATCTTTGACTCTTTGACGGTTGTGGATCTAAATCTCCTGCTTGACTCGTGTCACTTGGAACCTCAAAAACTTAGGTTCTTAAAAAAGATGAAGAAATGTGTGATAAACATATTAATTTGCTGATTTGATTAGGACAGAGTCAAGGTAAATTGCACAACAGGACATGGGGGTATAGCTCAGTGGTAGAGCGTTTGACTGCAG